TACGCAATGTTATGTTTAAATTCAGTGATTAATTTTTTTAAAATTTCTAATTTGTCTATATCTGTATTTTTAGTTATATTTCATTTTTCTTTTGAAAATAAAAATAAACTGTTGACTACATTTTCTCATATAGAGAATGTAATGTCTGACTTTTAAATTGCTTTGATTTAAAAATAATGCTACGCAATGATGTGCTTAAATTCGGAGCTTAAATTTTTTGAATTTCTGATTTGTCTAAATCTGTATTTAAAGTTCTATTAATTTTTCTTTTTGTAAAATGAAAAAAAAATGTTGGCTATATTTTCCCATATAGAGAATGTAATGTCTAATCTCTAAATTGTTTTGATTTAAAAATTATGATACGCAATGTTGTGTTCAAATTCAGAGATTAAATTGTTTTGAATTTTTAATTTGTCTACATCTGTATTTTAAGTTCTATTTCTTTTTTCTTTCGTAAAATGAAAAAAAAAATGTTGGCTATATTTTCTCATACAGAGAATGAATGTAATGTCTGACTTTTAAATTGTTTTGATTGAACAATAATGTTTTGCAATGTTGTATTTTAAATTCAGAATTTAAATTTTTTGAATTTCTGATTTGTCTAAATCTGTATTTTAAGTTCTATTAATTTTTTCTTTTCGTAAAATGAAAAAAAAATGTTCGCTATATTTTCTCATATAGAGAATGTAATGTCTAATGTTTAAATTGTTTTGATTTAAAAATTATGATACGCAATGTTGTGTTTAAATTCAGAGATTAAATTGTTTTGAATTTCTGATTTGTCTATAAATCTGTATTTTAAGTTCTATTTATTTTATCTTTTCGTAAAATAAAAGAAATGTTGGCGATATTTTCTCATATAGAGAATGTTATGTCTAATCTCTAAATTGTTTTAATTTAAAAATAATGCTACGCAATGATGTGCTTAAATTCGGAAATTTAATTTTTTTTTAAATTTCTACTTTGTCTGTATTTGTATTTTAAGTTCTCGTTCTTTTTTCTATTTGTAAAATGATAAAAAATGTTGGCTATATTTTCTCATGTAGAGAATGTAATATCTGACTTCTTAATTGTTTTGATTTAACAATAATGTTATGCAATGTTGCGTTTTAAATTCAGATATTAAATTTTTTGATTTCTTATTTGTCTCAATATTTATGAAGTATTTCATTCCATTTAGACAATTTTATTCCATTTTTTTTCCTCTTGTGGAAATGAAAATATACTGGTTATATCGTCAAAAGAATGTAGTAGGGAACTCCTAAATTCTTTTTTATTTAGGAAAAATAACTTTTGCAATAACTTTTGAACATTTACAATAACTTTTTTTAGTTCGCTAAGCTTTTTAAATTATTTAATGATTGTTAAAAAAGATGCACATTTTGCAAAATAATTTTTTCGCTGTCTCTTATTTATCCTTACAATGCATTGGAAAAGGGCTATATTTCGTAAAGAAAACTATTGTTTCTATTATTATTTATTATATTTAATTACACTAACAAAAATGTTTTTCAAATGTTTTCGAATATAAGAAATTAATTCTGAATTATATCTTTTGAACTGCCAGCTCTTCTAAAATATAATCATAAAAAGAAAAAACTATATATACATAAAAAAGGATGTAACATAGTTTTTTTCTGAACTTAAACAATAGAGAATAAAAGAGAAATTAATATATAATTGCTTTCATACTGTTTAAAATATAATTAGAAAAAAATCTTCGCTATATTTTCTTACCCATAGAAAAAAAAATACTTTTCCTAATAATATTGTCAAATTAATAGAAAAATATGTGTCTGTTACAAAAAAAATACATCCAAGAATTAATTATTTTTTATAATTAATGTCACATTCTTTTCAATAATTATTTATTTAGAAAATTTTGAAACTGAGATTTAATGCAGTATTGCATCGTACTTAAATCACACTTCACATTATTTAATTTTTTAAAAATAATTATTAAATTTTTTTATCGTTGTACTTTAATAGACCATAATATAACAATATGAGCATTATTTTTGACTTTAGAAAAGAATTTGAATATTTTAATTTAAAATTTGAAATAGTTACGTTTTTTTTTCATATTCCATCTTTTACTTAGTTGAAACTGGAAGTCCAAGTATGTATACCTCAAATTATAAGCCGCCCTGACAGTATAATTCATATTTTGTTTTATCTTGTTATGACTTATGACAGTAAAATAGAAATTCTGAACTGTAAAATTGTTTTTTGTTGCTGTTTTCGTTTATACAGAAGTGTAGAGGTTAAACAGGGAAAAGATAAAATTGCCATTTGACAAATCACCTTTGAGAAAGGAAAGAGGTAGGGCAAAAACATTAAAAAAATATGTTTAAAGTACTGGTTTAAACTTGAAGATCTCTCTAAAGGCCTGTTTACACGGTCCAAGTTCTTGAATCCGAGAAATTGGACAGATTTACTCTGTCCAAGAAATTTGATGATTCGTTGACACTATCCAAGTTCTTGACTGTCGCTGATTCGTTGAAAGAAAAACTTGCGCATGTGCATTGTTCCTATTCAACATTATAAAATAATACTTACATAAGTTTAAAATTACTAAATAAATTTAAATAAAATCATAATAACACAAATTAACTGCAACAGATCAATTTATTTGGACAAAAAATATATGAAAACAGACAAGAAGATGACATAATTTGCTGCCTGATTGTTGACGTCACAAAACCTAAGACGCTGATTGGTGCTGAGAAAAAACTTGGATGTAAAGTAAAACATGCTCTACTATCGACCAAGAAGTTGGACCAAGTTCTCGGATGTTTGTTTACACGATCAAAGCTCAAAGCAAAACAAGTTTCCATCAATATCAATCAATCTCTGTCCAAGAAATTGGATCGTCTAAACAGGCCTAAACTACACATTGTTCAGTTTAGTAATCAACAAAGCCTTTTATATTCACCTTCTTCAGTCGTGGTTACTATGGTTACATATTTATTGATCAATATCAATGGGTTTCCATGGTTAAATAGTTCAAAGAAATAGCAACATTCTTTTGAATGTAAATGTTTTAACAATGTTTGATGATGTAGGTAGATATTACTACATTTTATATGCCTACTTCAATATGTAATTTTGGAATCCTTGTAAAAATATGGTTAAAAAGCATTTATATGTAAGGGATTGCAAAATTATATTTAAGCATGGAAAAATGAAGACGTTATAAAAATCTGACGAATTGTTATCGAGGAGATGACGAGATTAATAACATCCAAGCAAGTTTAAATTCTACAGTAAACATGAAAAGGTTTTAAAATTTCACTTTCCAACCCTCCACCTCAGCTTTGTTCTTTCAATCATACAGGTTTTGACGCTTTTAATCTCACTTTTCTTGATAATGATTCATAGGTTTTGACGTTTTTAATCTCATTTTTCTCGATAATGATTAATAGGTTTTGACGTTATTAATCTCACTTTTCTTGATAATGATTCATATGTTTTGACGTTTTCAATTTCACTTTTCTCGATAATGATTCATGGGTTTTGACGTTTTTAATCTCACTTTTCTCGATAATGATTTATGGGTTTTGACGTTTTTAATCTCACTTTTCTCGATAATGATTCATAGGTTTTGACGTTTTTAATCTCACTTTTCTCGATAATGATTCACAGGTTTTCAAAGTAACATTTCTTTTCTCTCTCACTTAAATATTTATTCACTATTCTTACTTCATTTATTTCAAGGATTATATATAGTTGCAGTAAAATTACTATAGTTGCAGTGATAATTTGCCCTATTTAATAGTTTAAAGCGGCGGTTCCCTAACTTTAAAATCCAGTTATACTTTTGCGAAACATAATCTGCTACGAAACCCTGTAATGAGATTTATTTGCAACTTATTTTTAATAAATATTTAATATTGATAACGATAACTATTCTCAATGTTTCTTTACGTCATTATATACTTTTATTTAAACGAAAACCGCATTTCAGCTCATATATTTCCGTTTATGCATACAATAAAATCTAATCAAGAGTTAGACTAGAGTTCCTGGCCAAATTTTTAGACGCATTATAAGATTCCATGTAAAATCTTAGTTATGTGATTAATTAAGTGATATTATACAGTTAATTAATTAAGTGATATAATACAGTTCGATTGTTCTTTTGGGACTGAAACCGGTTTGCACTTGCCTACGTTCGAGTATCAATTGATTAAATGAGGAGATATATAATACAAATTCAACGATTGGATAAATTAGACGATATATTATCTAAATATAGAATATTGGTTGCATCAGGTATTATATTGTTATATTGTAATAATTAGATCAAATTATTAGACGCACTGTAATTTTTAAAATGACATGCTTAGCACGAGTTTATAGGCAATACTTTTATATTTAAACATATATGTAACGGGTTTTTATTCAGGAGAATTTTTTATATACCTCCTATTTATTTTTAAAGTATTGTATTACAATGTTAACCAATTGATACACGGGGGCAAACAAGTGCTAACCAATTAAGATTTAACATAGAATCTTATAGTGCGTCAAATAATTTTTCCAGGGACTGTTGATGCCACTTAAGGTCCAGAAATTCACCTATCTGACAAAAAAAAAAAAATTATGACTAGTATTGTTAAAACTACATGATGGGAAAACTCTATTTTGCATTCATTTATGAAATATTTCTAAAATAATTAATAAATTTCAGTCAATAAGTATTTTCAAATTAAATCATAGTTTATAGTTGATAAATATTTTATTACAATTGCACATGAAATTTCTTGAATAAATTTCTGGGCTCCAATCAAGGAGATTGGTCACAGGTTTAAAGAACCGATATTGTTCTATGTTCAATTTTTATAAGAATTTCTCCGATTTTTCTTAAAATGTATCAATTTGATCAATTTCTTAAGCGGAAAGCTGCCGTCACAGAAAGCAAATCTTGATATAATGCACGCTTGAGGCGTTTGCTGTCAAAGGGTCATTAATTATCCATCTTCTGTGTTATTTTTTAGATCAAACCACTCATGGAGCTTGTAAGGAAAACATTCCCGGTCTATGTTCTATTGATGTTGAATGGGCCTCTTGTGATTCTCGAATGTTTGAGCAACCCTATCCTGGATGTGACCTACAACGATCTCGAAACTATAAATGCAACATGTAACAGTTATTCTTGTGTATTACCTTATACATATGAAGAATTTGGCCAGTACAGCTGCAACTGTGATGATAAATCTTGCAGTCTTCAAGGAAATTGCTGTGTAGACTCACCATACAAGAATAAATATCCTAAGCAATTAAAGCGCGTCGACTGTAGAACATATAATGATGGATATATATACCATGTCCCCATGGTATACGATTGTGACCCAGATTTAGAAAGTGATAAAACCACCACGGAACTGTGCAAAAGCAATGGTGAATTATTAAACGATCCCTTTTTGAATATACCCGTTACTGATCCTGTAACAGGTATTTCGTATAAGAACTACTACTGCTATGCTTGCAATGAAAACTATGGTGATGAAGAGCCAGTGTTATGGAACTTGATTATAGAAAGTTACTATAGAAGAGTCGTAACAAACACGTTACCAGATCTTTATTTTGATAAAGTCAGATGGTTATGGATCATGGACCACAACAAATCAAATGCAACAGATGTATCATTGTATACACAAATTCCAGAAAAAATTAAAAGTTATATACCATACTGTTATACGGGCAGAATGATATCAGAATGTGCTTCAAATTGGACTGATGACAACATAAGGATCAAGTGTTTAGCGTACATGGCTCTTGCGAGAATAAAAATTAATGGTAGCTCTTCTATTGTGTATTATCGAAATCCTCACTGCGCCATTTGCAATTATCAGACCATTGATGACATGGTTTGCAACTCAGGCTTCGATGATAATAACGTGGTTAATGACTTCTTTTATGCATCTTTCTCTGTTCGTGACAAAAAAAAGCAAATTTCATGATGTTGTGATGTATGATTACTTAGTTGGAGAATTTAGAACTGTACAAAGGACAAAAAAGGAAAACGCAAATTAAATTTGGCCAGAAAATTATTCATGACACATTAATGACAGAAGTTTTCCCTTACAAATTAAGTTTGGAATCCCAGGTCTACAACAAACATCAAAAATATTTGTGTGAGTTTTTTAACATCGTAGCAGAAACGTTATAACTTATAAAAAGTTTGAATTTACCAGTTGGCAACTACAGCTGATAATTACACATAATCATTGAATATTCTTGAACGGCATCTATTGCCCTGTACATTTATTACATTTGTCGAAATTTTATTACCTTACTGACAGAAACTCCATAACACAATAAGTGCAGAAGTTTATTACACATATTATATTGCAAGTAATGATCACAGCAATATACCGAGTCATTAAATTAGTTCTTATGCAAAACTAGTAGGAAAATGAGACTCATTATAAAATTCCAAGAACTTGAGTTGTTAAATAATCAAACTACTTTTATAAATGTAAAAAATCATCTTGTATACTGTTAACATCGTTTTGAAATTAAAAATGCTATAATTTCTTTGTCGTATTTTTATTTACATATTGTATAAAAAATACAGCGAGAGTGTGAATAACAATTAAACTTCACATAGGATTTTTGGCAAGATATTCGACCAACACTCATATTCATATATTTAATATTCAAATACGATGAGTGTGTAAATAATAGTTAAGATTTTTCAACAATTTGCGTGAAGCTTCACTTTGCTTCGTCCAACAATTAATAAAATTTATATTCATCTTCCACAGTATTGATCACTATGGTTACGTATTTGTTTATCAACGAGTTTCCATGGATTGTTAAATAATTAAGAGTAGTAGCAAAAACGTTTAGAATTTAAATTCTTTATTGTGTTCGTAATTCGAAGCAAAAAAAAATTAAATGAAATACACAAGTTCTAGCATTTATTGAATTGATGCTAGATGACGTTGGCAGATATTGCTGCAATTCATGTGTATAAAATAATAAGTAGTTTTAATTCTCTTGCAATGTGAGATATTGAAAAATTAATATTTACAATGAATTATATTTATATATTAAAATTTAAATTTGCCGAACAGGAAAATATAATTCAAGTAGATTCATTTTCTTGATCTTTCAAACATGGGGGTAACAGTCATAGGATTTTGGTTACCTAGATTATCTTTGTCTTTAATTTTCTTGGCAAGATTTTTTTTTTTAATTTTTCACGGGGTAATTATTTATTATTTTTTTTTTTACAAGATTATTTTTTAAGAATTTTCTTGACAGGATTATTATTTTTTTAAAAATTATCTTGACAACATTATTATTTTATTTTTAATTTTCCTGTCAATATTATTATTTTTTTAATTTTCTTGTCAATATTATTATTTTTTTAATTTTCTAGACAAGATTATTATTTATTTATAGAAGAACATAGTAGTGTAAAAAGGAAAAGAAATATACAAAAATTGCTCTGTTTTGCTTATTAATAAAATATACACTTTATTTATAATGCATTTTACAGCACTATCACATTTTTGCACTTCTAGTCTATAGGCGTGAGATCTATCATTCGAAATTTCGACTACTTTCTGTAAATTTTTCGAATCCTTACAAAGCGTAATGGCTTATAACGAGGCAAGTTTTAATCGATATTTGACCATTGCAGTCGGAATTTATAGCCGTAATGAATTTATAATCAATCAAAATTCTGCTCATTTTCCAAATAATTTAAGTCCTATAATTCCCAAAGAAATTTCTTGCTCGATGACAAAACAAAGTTCAACCGTTTTATAAATTACACAAGTAGAATTAACTACCATATTATTCCTAATGGGAATTTATCGAAAATCAAATTACCTGCCATTGTTTGATTATCTATAATGTTTAAAATTTAAAAAAATCTAGTGCTGGATGACTACATAAATTTTTGTTGGTACATGATCATTGCAAACTGTGAACTTATATCGTCATTTTATTCCCAAATGAAATTTATCATTGATTAAAATGTCTACTAATTTTTGATCTAGTTTAGCTACAGCTCTATACTTGATGTCAAAATTGTTATTCAAAAAGCGCAAGGGAAATTTTTTACCAATCGAAATTTTTACAATTTTCTGACATGAACAAACTAGCATAAAAAACTGAAACGATAAGTAGAATAATATTTAAAAAATACGATTTTCATGTAAACTGAGAAGATGAAAGTAGTTTTATTTTTGTATTGTTTCAATTGAAAAACGTAAAGAGAATCCCTTTCGAAACAAACCATTGAATATTACTCTACCCTAAATTATTCGGTCCACTGCTTCCATATTAGGTCTGAAAGTCTACTTGAAAATTTTACTTAATCTACTTGAAAAGAAGTTTTAAGTTTTTTATTTTACTTTATTATTTTAACTGAACACTTACCCATAAATGCACTATATCACCCGAATTCAACTAAAAGAGCATTTTACAACCACTATGTCCATATAAATATGTTACATAATGGATGCATTTCACTTTTTCCATTTTTCTTGTGTTCTATTTTATAAATGGTATTTAAAATTTTTCTTTCAAATATAATCTACTAAGTATTAATCTATCGTATTATTTCTAGATATAATTAACCATGGTATTAATATGGAAAGGAACTCTTACCATTGTTCTGTTGATGTTATCCGGGTCCTTAATAAACTTAGATTGTTGGAGCGTACCATTATCGAATGTGACATCAGAGGATTTCGAAAGGATTAACACATCGTGTAATGAAACAGATTCTTGTCAACCATTATTTGATGTGACATATGATATTCAAAATATAAACGAAACTTGTAATGAATCAGATTCCAGTAAACCATTATTTGATGTGACATATGATGATGTCCAAAATATAAATGTAACGTGTAATGAATCAGATTCTTGTGAACCATTATTTGATGTGACATATGATGACATCCAAAGCATAAACGGAACATGCGAGGGAAGAGATTCATGCAAATCACCCAGATATGAAGATTCTCTTAACCATTATACCTGCAACTGTAACAGCTACTGCAGTTAGTTTGGAACATGCTGTGTAGACTCGAAACACAAACACAAATACCCGAAACCTCTGAAACATCTATATTGCGATTCAGTTTTTCAGGACGAGAAGTTTCATTACGTACCCATGATATACGGTTGTGATCCTGATTCCCAAAGTAATAAAACCACCAAGGAACTTTGCAATAGCAATGCTGAACTATCAAACAATCCTGTTTTGAATGTACCCGTTACTGATCCTGTAACAGGTATTTCGTATAAGAACTACTATTGCTTCTCGTGTAACAAAAACTATGGTGGACAAGAACCAGTGCCATGGAAGTTAGAATTGGAGAGTCATTCAGAAAAAGTGAATGGTTCGTTACAGAACTTACATTTTGATATTTCCAGATGGACTTGGATCTTGGATTACAATCAGGCAAATGAAACCGATGTATTTTTGTATATATCTATTCCAGAAGAAGTGCTAGATGTTATTCCTTATTGCTATAACTTCATAATAATATCAGACTGCGCTTCAAACTGGACTGATGACAGTACACGAAATAAGTGTCTGGCTTATATGGCACTGGTAAGAATTATTCCTAATCTATACTATCGAAATCCACATTGCGCCATTTGCAATTATCAGAGTATTATCGAAAGGGATTGCAATGGATATGATGATAATTATAGTGTGTCTTACCACTATGGTTATCATCAAAATAACTTTTTCTATGGTTTGTTCGCTTTACACGACAAAACAAGCGAATGCGAAGACAATATGGTTTATGATTATTTTGGAAAGAAATGTAGAAGAATATACAAAGCAAAAAAGCGATTTATCGTACAATAATCTTCGTATAGTTGTTCAGTGCGCAAAATAAGATACTGGTATATCATGAATAACTTTTGATTCAATGATGGGATTTTCCCGTACTAAGATTCGGATTTCTGACTCTCAAAGTCTAGGGAACAGCTAGGAAAAAAAGTACTAGTCGTTTACAGAAAAGTAGTCGAAAGTTTGTGATTTTTAATTTAATTTCTTTTATCTCAAGATAAGATATTTTTCTATTAAAATTTGTTGCTTGATAGGACAAAACACAAAGAAGTAAAATTAACACGAAGAGGTCTAAGCATTCGTCCGCCGACCAAACTATTAAGACTATATTTCCCTGATTGCAGCCACCCTCCTTTTTTTTGAGAGCCCTTATTACAAAGTAGTGCATAATTTAGAAAAGGTGCGTTTTGAGCCTTACTTCGTAACCTGAAATATCACGAACACTAACAAATTACTATAATTAATATTTTGTCCTAAAAAATGTATTTTGGTGCATGTTGTACTTTCAAAAATATATTTACTATTAGAAAATGTACCATGAGTATTAGAAAATGTTCCAAAATTTTAGGTTTGTATTAGAAAACTATTACCTAAATCTTTAGGGGAGCAATATTTACTTTTTTTATTAAGTATTTGTGAAATTTTAGATTAAAAAATAATATATTTTGAAATAGGTTCATTTGTGATTTTGGACATCTCAATATGTAAATACTTTTTGTACCAAAAATATAAATCTGTAAATTTGCCTATCTAATATTTCAAATCAAAGTAGTGTTGAATCAATTTTGATGTGGTTCAATTTTTTATTTGTTACCTGATTTATTTCTGAGTTATATACTACAGATATATATTATATAAGAAGGAGTATATAAGAAAGAATATTAGAAGTTATAGGATTTTTTTAAAAAATAGAATAAAGTTATTTGGTATTTCTGTATCACAAGAGCTGTGGATTGCAATTTGGATATTAAAATTATCTATTGATGTAGTTTAATTTTTTTCCGATTAATTTACTTAAAATATCAAATTTTTAATAAAGTTGCTAATTTTCGTAATATTTGTAACAAAATTAATGTGGTTCATAGAAGAGTCGTTTACCACGAGGGGAAGAAATAGGAATCAATGGAACAAGTGGATGACTTTTCCAGAATTAAAATATCGAGAAGCTTTTTATCAAATGTTTCTATAAATCTACATTTAAAAATCTTAATTTTTTATTATTTAGAAATGAATTATAATAGCTTTCATTTTAAGAAAATGATTGTGTCTAAAATCCCTGATACCATGCTTTTCCAAACACGTCATCTCTGTGTATCTTTCTAGCTGACATATTTTCCCATATAAATTTCCATCAAGTTCCTTATGATGCGTGTTTTTACGGTTGACAAATGTCGGATCAAAAATAGGTAGAGAAAGACAATTAAAGTTTCCTTGGGGTATTCATCCACTTTTCCTTCGAGGTTAATATCTTCCTTACCTGTACTATGCATGATTCTTTATCGCCTTACGAGATCATCGCCAACAAAACCAATTATTTTTATTTTTTGAAATGCCGGATGCTATTTAGGCAAAGTATGAAATAATCGTTCTGATGAGGTAATTATGTAAATGATGTGCATGTTACAGTGAATGATTGAAATCGGTGGTTGTTCACTTTCACCGGTGAATGTTGACAATCAAATTAGTCGCTTTGGTGAATGTCCGAAATATTTATTACATCCGATTTGATATTAATTTTTTCGTGGATAAAATTACATTTATTCGATATTTTAATGCTTACTGACGATATATTAGAACAAACATCAGTGTTTGGAGTATCGGGCAAATACATACCGGTCAATGGCACTTGACCTTAAAAAACCATCAGTGTAGGATATACCGGGCAAATGTATACTGGGTAGTGGCACTTGACCTTAAGAAAACATCAGTGTAGTGTATACCGGGCAAATGTATACCGGGAAGTGGTACTTGACCTTAAAAAAACATCAGTGTATGGTATACCGGCAAGTGTATACCGGGCATTGGCACTTGACCTTAAAAAACATCAGTGTAGGGTATACCGGGCAAATGTATACCGGGCAGGTGGCACTTGACCTTAAAAAACATCAATGAAGGGTATACTGGGCAAATGTATACCGGGCAGTGGCACTGAACCTTAAAAAAACATCAGTGTTGGGTATACCGGACAAATGTATACCAGGCAATGGCACTTGACCTTAAAAAAGCATCAGTGTAGGATATACCTGGCAAATGTGTACCGGGCAATGGCACTTAACCAGACCTAGTACGACTAGACCTTTGGTAAATGTCCGAAATATATACTAGATCTAGTGCCACTTTTGCTATAACTTAAATATTTAAAAAAATTTAAACAAAGCGTTTGAATCAATTTTAAACTGATAACGAAATTATTGCTTTAAAATTAAAAAAATAATAATAAAAACTGCGCCAGATAAGAGTAATTGAAGTAGTTGCTTTATACAGCGCATGTGCGGAAAAATTTAAAAAAAAAAGTATCCACGTGCATCTAAAAGTGGATGAATATCCCAAGACACCTTATTCGCTATATTGAGTAAGATATTTCTTATGGTTGCGAGATTAAGTATAACTTAAAATAAAAATTATACTTAGAACATGCCCAATTATTAAAACTTTTAGCCATTTTGATGATTAAAAGTAAAATAGACGAAATTCTTAGGAGGTGAATAGGACTAAAGTTTATAAAAGTATAATATGCTTTATATTTCATCCATGAGACTTCATTAATTTTCACGCAATTACATACAAAAATAAAATCATGTAATTTTTATTCTCAGTAAATAACGATAGGAATATTCTTTCTACAGTTTGAAAGCTAATATTTATACTCGTTAAAAAAATAGCTTAAATGTAAAATGGCTTTGCATCATAGGGTAATATCTAGTAAGTTTTTAAAATAGTAAAATTTATTTTTAGATATTTACGTACTATAGCTAATAAATTTTCAATCGCAAAATTACTTTAAACCGACAAAAAATGATTGATTGAAATGATTGATTCAAACAGTCACTATCACATAAGGAAAGTGTTTATTTGAATGCTTAATGTTGAAATTTTATCAATGCAGATTGAATGTTTTGCAAAATGGCTTTTTTGCAAAATGGCTGAAATTTAAGTAGAAGTAGTATTAGAAAGCTTGTTCAAGTATCAAATTATTAGTTCCAAAATAGTTATGTGCTTTCAAATTGCTTAAAATAAAGTAAAAAAACATTTTGCTAATACTGCATTATTACGGAAAAAATGTTTCGTGCAGAAGTCGAAAATTTCACATACATAAAATGACAAATTCGCAGCTGTAAATTTTAATCTTTTTACATGCATTAATAAATTCTGAAACGAATCAAAGTGCCGCAAGTTTATCCAATTTTTATTGCAAAAATAGATGCTTTGAATTTTATAATGAATTGAATAATGAATGATGATGAATTTTATAATTCTTATCATTAACATCTTTAGAAACTTTTAGAATAAATTGAGAAAAGAACTTTGTAATTTCTATTAATTAGCTGAAATTTCTATTTGCAACGACTTTATTAATGATGTTCCCTCATTTAAACGTTTACTTTGTTTCAACCTGTAACCTTACAAACTTTATCGTACTACTTAATTTTCTATATAACTTTAGTGTTCTTCATTAGGAAACCCTAATGAAGAACACTAAAATTTGCTGATGAATGTTGATGTAAATGATGTACCCGCATTTAAACGTTTACTTTGTTTCAACCTGTAACTTTACAAATTTTATCGCTCTACTTAATTTTCTATATAACTTTAGTGTTCTTCATTAGGAAACCCTAATAAAGAACACAAAATTTTGTTGATGAATGTTGATGTAAATGATGTTCCCGCATTTAAACGTTTACTTTGTTTCAACCTGTAACTTTACAAATTTTATCGCACTACTTAATTTTCCATATAACTTTAGTGTTCTTCATTAGGAAACCCTAATGAAGAACACTAAAATTTGTTGATGAATGTTGATGTAAATGATGTACCCGCATTTAAACGTTTAATTTGTTTCATCCTGTAACTTTACAAATTTAATCGTATTACTTAATTTTCTGTATAACTTTAGTGTTCTTCATTAGGAAACCCTAATGAAGAACACTAAAATTTGTTGATGAATGTTGATGCAAATGATGTTCGAGCATTTAAACGTTTACTTTGTTTCAACCTGTAATTTTACAAATTTAATCGTACTACTTAATTTTCTATATAACTTTAGTGTTCTTCATTAGGAAACCCTGGAAGAATTTGTTTGGTTGAGAATGACCTAAAAAATGAACATTTTTTGGGTAAACAAAAAAAATCAAACTATCAAAATGTTTGAAACGTTTTATTTCTACAATCTTTGAGTTCTATAAATAGATGTAGAATGTAAATTTCAAGAATAAATAGATTCCATTATATAATGTTGTATGTAGAGAGTGTATTAGTGTTCATTTTCTTAAAAAGTGTGCATAGTTATTTTAGTATAAAAATGCAATTATATTAAATGTTATGTAATTAAATATGTTGTATACAAATACTTCAATAAATTAATATTATGAATTTTGTTTTTCTTAATATTGAAAATATTTTAATTTCAGATTATGAACATACAAGGATTATGAATATACAGCGTGAATATAAAAATTTTTTGTTTTTATATAGATATAAATTTTTGCGATTTACTCAAAAAACAACAACAATTGATAAACACTATTTCTGAAATACATTTTTATTGTCCTCTCAGCGGCACCAGGACAATACACCCCCCCCCTTGAGTATTGCTTTGACTGCATCATGTTGTATGCAAGTATTTTTCTTTAATTGCCATAATAAATAAAAATGCTTGCTACTCACTTAAAATGAACGAGTGAAAATAACTCACTTTGAGTGCTATTTAACTAGTTCATCTAGAAAAAAAGTGGCCTTCTCGTCTTGAGTTAAAATCACTCTAGTGTAAGAGTTAAAGGGAAATAGCTTACGTTTGAGTGAAAAAATGTTTACTCAAACTGGAGTGATTTTAACTCCTGTTTCAGCGATTTTTAGCACTATTTGAGTGGATAGTTTTCATTCAAACTTGTGCGATTTTCACTCGAGTTTGAGTGATTATATGTATTACTTGATTGAGTTCTTTCAACTTGAATTTGTGTATATTTCAATTATTTTTTTTTCATAATTAGCATCTTTTAAGTGAATATATTTTATTAAAACTGTTCAATGTGGACCTTTATTCCTATGGGTAGGTAAATTCCAATTCAATTAAGATTGTAAGCTGATTGAAATTTAACCCTTAGCAATACGATGTCACCTCTAAGACGCCATCAACAATCACCACTCTAAAGTTAAAAATTTTTATACCTTAAAAATTAGTAACCATTTTATTTTAAGAATTTTAAAAATTGTTTAAAAAGACTGTCGTGTATTAATTCTCCTATCCTAGGACCACAAAATCTTCTGAGGAATTTATTCTATTGTTACATGCCATTTAGTCATTGTTACCCTAGGACAAAATTTTAGATGAAAATGTCTGGTGCCAGCTAAAGTTATTAAATACACGTTTAAATTTTTTAAATCAGCATTTATCTAAACAAGAATAAAGAGGGAAAATTTAAATTTTGCTTCCACAATAAATATCAAAATAAAATGTTCCGGGAATTAAAGAATACTTGAGAAGAGATGGAAAACAATGTCGTTTAGGCGCATTAAGCATTCATTAGTCTTAAAAACCAATTCATTTTTTTTTATTCCATTTATATTCGTTTTCGATCCGGCATTGAAAGGTTGTCCTTAATGAGGGTGAATACATTCTTGATTTAAAAGAAAATCTAGATAACAAATACCAAATGCTCCGAAACGATATTACTTTCCAGTCCACCTAATACACGTCAGTACTTTTCATTTATGGACCACTTTTTGTGGCTGAGCATAAGTGGGTTAAAAGGACTCTAATGGTATACATGAATCAAACCATTATTAGCAAATATTGATATTTATAATTTTATTTCTATTCTTTCTAGATGAAACCAATCATGCAGTTTCAATTGAAAACATTTTCAATCATAGTTATAATGGTCTTGTCCGGGTCTTTCAAAAAATTGGAATGTTGGGGCACCTCATTCGTAGATGTCATATACGAAGACGTCAATGCATTAAATGCAACATGCACTGGTTTAGACTCTTGTGAACTACCAAGAGATCCTGATTCTCTCGAGCACTGCAGCTGTGACAGATTCTGCAGTTTGTTAGGAACATGCTGCATAGACTCTAGATATAGAAACAGATATTCTAAACCATTGAAGAACATCGATTGTTTTCACATCCCTACTAGAAAAGACAAACACCGTTATATACCTATGATAAAAAGTTGTGATCCGGATTTGAAAACTGGTATATTTACCGAGATGTTTTGCAAAAGTAATGGCGAATTATTAAGCGATCCCTTTTTGAAAATACCCGTTACTGATCCAATAACTGGTATTTCATATAAAAACTACTATTGCTTTGCCTGCAACGAAAACTATGGTACAGAAGAGCCAATACCATGGAATATAGAATTAGCCACTAAAATCGATAAATCATCAGCAACGAAAAAAAAGTCTAAAGCGCGTATTCCAAGGAAGGTAGGAATTAACGAAAGTTCAGATTCATCAGTACCAACCCTGCAGTACGACGCATCCTGGCGGGCGCGGGTTCTGAAAGTTACCAATTCATCATCTGTTCCGAGTCTGAGTTACGATTATACCCGAAGAACTTGGATTATGAACCCCAATCAAGAGAATGCAACCGACGTCAAATTTCGTGCATCTTTTCCTGAACAGTTAAAAAACATTACACCCATTTGCTACTATATGGTTTCCCCAATTATTTCGGAATGTGCATCGGATTGGACAGATGACAATGCGAAAAAGAGATGCATGGCTTACATGGCTGTGATTTCAATCCGAAGAAACTACTACCATAATCCACATTGCGCCATTTGCAATTATGAGAGTATGGATGACCTGAATTGTTTTGTACATTTAAAAACTTTCAATCGCCCAAGGTGGCAGTCCGAAGTTTTATTACTTAGATTATTTTCTCTCCAAGACAAAGCAATAAAAACTTGTGCAGACTTTATGGGGTATGATCATTTTGAAAAGAAGTGCAGAAGGGTATATAGATCAAAGAGGCGTATTTGAACCATAAATACAGGGTGTTCTCCAACTACCGCATTTAATCAGCACCTCCTGCATCAGAATGCCTCCACACGGCATTTAATAAGTAGTCTGCGGAGATTATTTATAAAGTGAACCAGTTGTGTGGATGAACCCAAATTCTATTTTAAAAGTAATTGATAGCAATTTATCAAATAATATTAGTATTGAGTCTGTAGTGGTTGACATGTCAATAAGACAAATCAATCATATTCCCAAATAAAAAAATTTCAGTCAAATATTTGCTACCATTTTCTAATTCTAAATAGATTTTCTATACAAAAGCTCTTTCGTTAGCTAGTTTACCTTCATAGTGGTCTGATCAGACTATCTGTAAAAAACAGTGTGGAGGCTTTCAGATATAGAATCAGCGTTGGTATAATGCGCAAGGTGACTGAGCCACCGTCTCCTGTAACTGAAAGTCTCTACTTTATGTAATTGGTCCGATCAGACCATTATGAAGATAGACAAGTTTATGATAGAGCCATTTAATTTAAAATGTAATAAAAATAAGGAAGTGGTAACAAATATATGTCTAAAAATTTGTTCAATTTTTGAATATGATTGGTTTGTCTTATTTACTTGTCAACCTCTACAGATTCAATACTTAAATATCTATGATACATTTCTCTCAATTGCTCAATTAAAAGAATTTGGATTCATGAGCACAACTGATTCACTTTTTAAATAGTCTGCGCAGACTACTCATAAAAACCGTGTCGTGGCTCTCTGATGTAATAGGTAATGATTGAGCTTAGCAAAATATGAAAGTTTACTAGGGATACAGTACCTTAATGTCCCAGGTATAATGTTAAGGGATCTATTTTAAAAATACCTTATTGCTATATAAACATTCAAAAACATATGATTGTGATCCGTTCGAAACTACTTAATAAGGATTTATCTGTTCAAGGAACCGTGATTGTGAGCTATATGAAACCACCTGATTATAATGTATCTATTCGAAAAAACATGATTGTGATTTGTTCGAAACTACCTGATCTTGATGTATCCATTCTCAAACCGATGTTTGTGATCTGTTCGAAGCCATTTGATTGTGATGTATCCATTCGCAAACCTATGTTTGTGATCTGTTCGAAACCACTTGATTGTGATGTATCGATTCGCAATCCCATGTTTGTGATCTGTTCGAAACCATTTGATTGTGTTGTATCCATTCGCAAACCCATGTTTGCGATTTGTTCGACACCATTTGATTTTCATGTATCTATTCGCAAACCCACAAAACCGGAAAATTTTATTTCCACATTTAAAGTGGTAGCGAAATTCATGTCATTCCGCCAAACTTTTTGAATTATAATAATAATTATAAATGAGTTTGACCACCACTACATATAAATGATTACAACAAATATATAAGATCAAATTATTACTTAAGCATACCTGCCAACTTTTAATCCCTTCCATTATTATTTTTCCCAGTGGTATTGAAAGGAAACGAAAACTTCAATTTTAAGCAAACAAATACGTTGTATTTGAGAAACTTATGTTGACAACCAGGATAGTAACGCATATTAATATATGTGCTTGATTTTTGTAAGAATAGTGGTGATCATTATCATTTAAAAATTAAGATTATAAAAGAAAAAAATAGTATATAATTACTACCACTTTAAATATAAAATCTTCCGGAAAATCCGGAAGAGTTGGCAGGTATGCTTAAGATAGCGAATTTTAACCTGATTAAAATATAAATATATTTTTGAGGAAGATAGTTTTTCGGTAATTGTTTTACTACCACTTGGAAAATCTATCCTCGAAAAGAGTGAGTGTTGGCAGGTATACATACCTGCCAACTCTTCCGGATTTTCCGGAAGATTTTATTTTCATTTTTAAAGTGGTAGCAATACTCGGGCTATTCTGATTAACTTTTTGAATTATAATGATAATTATAAACGAGTTTGACCACCGCTACATATAAATAATTACAATAAATATATGAAAGCATAATAAACCTTTGCGCAAGCGAATTTCAACGGGATCAAAATATAAATATATTTTTGAGTCAGATTGTTTTTCGGTAATTGTTTTACAACCACTTGGAAAATCTATTCTGGAAAAGAATGAATGTTGGCAGGTATGTGTTTAATCAGAGAAAGAACATTCTTGTTCTGCGCCAACTAATTAGCATATTTGAGGTCACCTGCTCGAACCATTAAGATGGAGTAGATCGTGAAGATCCAATCATTAGAGCATAAATTATTCAGGGAGGTCCGTTTTTTTGGCGCATTGTACGTAACATCACTGATATATTGAAAATCTTGTAGAAGACTTTTGTTTATATCAAATGCAAAATTATTTTTGTCTCCAACTGTAACGCAACTGCTCCGGACATGCCGAAATAATTTAAAAAACGATAAATAACTACAAAGTAAATTTTGCAAATATTTGATTATTTTTGGCTTGTTGGCAAAATTTTAAAAGCATACCTGCCAACTCTTCCGGAAGATTTTATTTTCATATTTAAAGTGGTAGCAATACTCATGTTTTTCCAATTAACTTTTTGAGTTATAATGATAATTATAAATGAGTTTGACCACCAATACATATAAATAATTACAATAAATATATAAAAGCATAATAATCCCTGCACAAGCGAATTTCATCAGGATCATAATATAAATATATTTTTGAGTCAGATTGTTTCTCGTTTAATGTTTTGCAACCATTCTGAAAATCCATTCTCGGAAAGAGTGAAAGTTGGCAGGTATGTAAAAGGTATAGCATGACATAAGTACTATAAAGTGGCGAATTATATAAGCCTACGAATTATTTAGAAATAGTGGTAGATAAAAATGTGCTAAATTGAATTTATTAAACCAAGAATCAGAATTGATAAACTACTACATTAAAATATATATTTGCTGTCCGGAGCAAGTTGGCATCTCTGGTAACGTTATCAAAATTGACTTTAAATAAAAATATTATTAAAATTTAATGGTAGTCAGAAGTTCCCATCTAAAAATAAAGTGCAGTTTTTTACAAAACTGAAGTAATTTTATAGTTTTTCTAGAGTTAACTGCAGATTTTCTGTAGTGCAATCTTAACTTTAAAAACACTGCAGTTATTTTACAGCTAATGTGAAGTAATTTTTCAGTAATTTATTTTGAAAAAACTTTTAGCTATTGTCTACAAAATTACTGCAGTTTAATTGAGGTCACTTTAAAATCATAAATTTCGAAGAAACTGAAACTTTAAATCCGTGGTTATTCTGCAGTAAATTTGAAGTAATTATGCACTCATTGTTTCAGAAGTATACTTTCTGATGAATCTGCAGAAAAACTGCAGTTACTTTGCATTGTTGTAAAATTGAAAGAGTTTGATATTTTCAATCTTGTTTTCCTGGTTGGTATATCAACATTTTACAATGCTTATGGCTTTTTTTTTCTTGATAATAAATTAATTTCTTATAAGTAGGTAACAATTCTAAACATATGTATTGATAACGGAAATAACGTACACTATCTATATTCTTAAAAGATAATATTCATAAAATACATACTTGATTTAGTTGTAATTATTTATAATTCAGAAGCGTCAATAACTTTTAAGTAAGATTTTGACACAATTTAATTGTTTCAAAATATGCCTAAAATTAGGTATTTAAATATTTCTATATTTTAGTAAATTTATTACTAATTTTATTTTTATTAATTTTTATTATATATTTCTTTTTGACTTAAGAAAACTATGTTTGCGCAAAGTTTATGGTAAAAACAATATTAAGGTAAAGGCAAGTAGTTAATGTTAATTTCTTTATTTGAATTCGTACTAAGCTAGGATTATTGCAGAACAAAAATTATACTTATTTTTTCTATTCAAAACAAATATTTAGTTTGGATTTTAAACAAATTTATATCAAAGGAGTTTGCAAAATTGAATTTGAAAAGGGATAATTAATCCAGATTTTTTAGTTTTAAACCTCTCCTTCAAAACTTTATTAATTTTACTCTGTTTCAGAAGTTTGTCTTAAATAAATTTAGGCAATTTAAAACAATATACCTTTTTTAATTACTTGAAAATAAAGCTTTATAAATTAAGCAAATAATGTTGTTTGAAAAAAAAAATAACTCATAGTATTTTCAATTGAACCTAAATGAGCATAATATTTATAAAACTGCGTACGTTAAAAATTCGTTTAGACCTCCTTGCTTTTAAAAATTAAACTTAAAAGAAAAATAACAAAACTTAGGGGAAGAAAACTTAAATCTACATTGCTAGGAATTTTTCATAAAAAACACTCTTAAGTAATAATTCATTTAATTGTCATTTTACCGTATACAATCAAAACAATTGGATAACCATAAACTGATAATATTCAAACAGTTAACTCAGAGTAATTTTATTAACTGTATTTTCACCTTATTTGATTTAAAGAACAAAAACTTTATCCTTGCCAACAAGACCCAACTCATGAAACTATTTAGTTCTTTGCAGCTGTCTTGACATAGGGCTATAGCCGAGAGGGTTGATTGGTCAATCTCACGCCTGATATGAAGCGAGTTCGAATCCCAAGATACCATGCGTCGACATATTAACAACGAAAACTTACAAGAGTATTGTACTTCCTAATTAGATAATTAAATTGAGAATAGATTAAGATAAAAAAATATTTCTATCAACAACTTTTTTCAAAAGGAATTTTTTTTAAGCAAAAACTATAGTATTTTCTTTCGCTCACGATAGATGGCACCTCTAAATACAGACATTTTGTATATTAACAGTAAGAATTTTGTCTCCAAACTGCATTTTTTCTGTAGATTTTCTGCAGTTTATTTTTAGCTGGGTTATTTTGTACCTGCAATAAATATTTATTGTGAAGCACATGTGCTTTATATATTTCTACTTTCTAGAAAAAAAAAAGAAACATTTTTTTAAACCCAATTGGGCTTAAATGGCTTTTTAAAAGGACAGTTTATTTTTTTAACCCATTGTTGACCAAGTTATTTGTTGCTTTGGAAAGATCTAACGCGTATATCAGATGATTGTTTTGAAAAGCGAAAAAATAAATATTCCTGATAGTATAAATATAAACACATAGCTGCTGACTTGTACGGCTGTTTAGAAAAACTTTTCTTACTGCTCAATCTTCAAATTAAAGACGTATTAGATCTTGAAATTAAAGTTTTTTTAAAAAAAATGCATACTACGGCAAATCAGTAATTAAAAAATATGTAGATATGATTGATTTGTTAACTTATTCATCTCTTAAATGTTCAAGCTTTATAAAATATTTCAAACTTCAGCTGTTGTTTTACTACCACTTTGTATAATCTTTTTCAGTGACCGTTGGCAAGTACGTAAACAGTTGCTAAAAGGAATTTTACACCTATGATAAAGTACTTTAATATATTTGGATTTTTTTGTAAAAATTTTGAAAAAAATTTATCATACTTTCATAGACTTATAACTATAGGTTTAATTTAATTATATATAGTGGTGATAAAAATCATGTTAAATTAAATAAATAGTAAGTATAAATTTTAATACAATATTAGATACCTAAAAACATATACACTCTTCTAAAACGCTTTATTCCTCTTGGTAGGTAAATTCCGATGCCACCTCTGAGCAAAGCCTCCACACGGTTTTTTGTAGGTAGTCTGAACAGACCACTATGAAGGTAATTCATTAGGGGAAGAACCATTTAATATGAAATCTATTAAAAATTAGAAAGTGGTAGCAAATATATGTCTTAAAATTTTTTTAATTTTTGAAAATGATAGGTCTGTCTTATTTACTTGTCAATCTCTACAGATTCAATTCTCAAATAAATATGATGAATTTCTCTCAAGTACTTTTAAAATATTTCACCATTCATTTGCGCTTCGGCGAATTATTATTTATTCCCACTCAGATGAATTAGTTAGAGGTCCTGGCAGGACTGATGCTAAGATAACCACCACATATGAGTATGAGAATGAGTACTTTTAAAATAGAATTTGGGTTCATGCGCGCAAGTGGTTTCCTTTCTTAATAATCTGCGCAGACTACTTATAAGAAACCGTGTGGAGGCTTTCCGATGTAGGAGGTGATATTGACTCTGAGACACCATCAACACTCACCACTCTAAAGTTAAAAAATTTTTACGCCTTAATAGCCGTTTTATTTTAAGAATTTTAAAAATTATATAAAAAGACTGTTGTGTGTCCCTTTTAGCAACCTTTCTGAAAATAACGTTTCCTCATGCTGATACAATTCTGAACAACTCCAAATTCAAACAAACACAACTATAGAACACACAAGCTGCTCATTTTATTTTTTTTTGTTTCCTTTTTAGTTATTCAAGCAAAGTGCTTGAAACATTCATAAGAGCAACTCCACTTCCTGCTTACCTCAATGCTCAAATAAAACAGTGATAAAATTCGAGATGAATGGGATAGGGGTCGCTTCGCAACCCAGGTGCCCAACAAAATCAAAACACTAGGACTAGTTATAAAAAAAATTAAGAAAAGTCTCTTCTCCCAGGACCACAGAATCTTCTGTGGAATTTATTCTACTTTTACATGCCATTTAGTCATCGTTGCCCTAGGGCAAAATTTTAGATTAAGAGGTCTGGTGCCCACTAATGAGGGCAGGCACCTCATCGAACACTAGATCGTCGTCGTGTGTTAAGTGTGCATATATTAGTTCCAACAGCAAAGTAATTGGAATATAAAGGGTTATTAAATATATGTTTAATTTATTTAAATCAGCATTTATCTAAACAAGAATAAAGAGTGAACATTTAAATTTTGCTTCCACAATAAATATCAAAATAAAATTTTCCGGGAAATAAAGAAAACTTGAGAAGAGTTGGAAAACAATGTTGTTTCGGCGCATTAAGTATTCATTAGTCTTAAATACCAATTAATTTTTTTTGATCCATTTATAGTCATTCTCGATCCGGCATTGAAAGGTTGTTGCTAAAGAGGGTGAAAACATTCTTGATTTAAAAGAAAATCTTGAGAACAAATATCAAATGCATCGAAATGACGTTACTTTCCAGTCCACCTAACACATGTCGGTACATTTCATTTATAGACAACTTTTTGTGGCTGAGCATAAATGGGTTGAAAGGACTCTAGGTGTATACATGGATCAAACCATTATTAACAGATATTGATATTTATAATTTTATTTCTATTCTTTCTAGATGAAACCAATCATGCAGTTTCAATTGAAAGCATTTTCAATCATAGTTCTGATGATCTTGTCCGGGTTTTTCAAAAAATTGGAATGTTGGGGCAACTCAATCATAGATGTCATATACGAAGACATCGCTGCATTAAATGCAACATGCAGTGGTTTAGACTCTTGTGAACTACCAAGAGATCCTGATTCTCTCGAGCACTGCAGCTGTGACAGATTCTGCAGTTTGTTGGGAACATGCTGCATAGACTCTAGATATAGAAACAGATATCCTGAACCTTTGAAAAACATCGAATGTTTCTACATCTCTGGTAGAAAAATACGCCGTTATATACCTATGATAAGAAGTTGTGATCCGGATGTGGAAACTGATGACGCTACCGAGGCACTTTGCAATAGCGATGGCGAAGAATCAAGTGATCCCTTTTTGAAAATACCCGTTACTGATCCAATAACAGGTATTTCATATAAGAACTATTATTGCTTTGCCTGCAACGAAAACTACGGTGCAGAAGAGCCAATATCATGGAATATAGAATTAGCCGTTAAAGCCGATGAATCATCAATAGCGATGCTTACTGAAATGCGTAGGAAGACTAGAATTAAAGGAGGTTTAGGTTCATCAACACCAAACCTGCAATACGACGAATCCAGGAGGATATGGGTTCTGAAATTTAATAATTCATCATCTGTTCCGAGTCTGAGTTACGATAACACCCGAAATACTTGGGTTATGGACCCTAATCAAGAGAATGCAACCGACGTCGAATTTACTACATTTCTTCCGGAACAGTTAAAAACCGTTACTCCCATTTGCTACAATACGATTTTCCCGATTATTTCGGAATGTGCATCGGATTGGACAGATGACTATTGGAAAGAGAGGTGTATGGCTTATATGGCTGTGATTTCCATAGAAAGAAAAGATAGCTTTTTTTCTAACTACTATCATAATCCACATTGTGCCATTTGCAATTATGAGAGTATGGATGGCCTGAACTGTTACGTAGAGGAAAATGGTGTCGGTACGATACTATGGGAATCCGAAGTCTTATTACTTAGATTATTTTCTCTCGAAGACAAAACAACAAAAACTTGTGCAGACTTTATGGTGTATGATTATTTTGGAAAGAAGTGCAGAAGGGTGTATAGAGCAAAGAGGCGTACTTAAATCATAAATACAGGGTGTTCTCTAACAATCGCATTTAATTATCTCCTCCTACATCAGAAGGACACCACACGGGATATTATAAGTAGTCTGCGCAGAATATTTAAAAAATGAACCAGTTGCGCGCATGAACCCAAGTTCTATTAGTAATTGAAAGCAGTTTATCATCTGAGTCTGTAGTGGTTGACATGTCAATAAGATAAACCAATCATATTGGCAAATTAAAGAAATTTTTATTACTACCACTTTTTAATTTTTAATAGATTTTCTATTAAAAGGCCCTTTCGTAAACTAGTTTATCTTCATAGTGGTCTAATCGGACTACCTATGAAAAGCTGTTTGGAGGCTTTCAGATATTTGAGCCAACGTCTCCTATAATTGAAAGAAAACAAGTTTATTCTATTGATAAATAATGTTTTTTTTTACTCTGAACGGTTGAAAAAGATTGAATTGTTGTCTAAAGTGTTCTAATCACATTTAATAAATATCAATATCACAACGCATTGTGATTTTAAACATACTTTATATCTTTACTTCCTGAAAAAAAAAGATGTAAAATCAGAATAAAAAGTACTTGTTACACTGGTAACAAGTACTGCACTTACTGTCACTCATGAATGATTTGTGCAGTGCATTTATTTTTAGTTATATAGTCACCTACAAACATAATCCAATTATTAAAATTTTGCATGTGGCATTATCATCAGACACAAAGCTTAAATAGAAATTTGAGTGCATTAGCTAGTAATTTCGATTGCAAGATTCTAGGTTAGCAGACCAAAAGCAAGCAAATAAGAACTTAGTAAAATAAGATTTTTTTTCAAAATAAATATCTACTAGATTTTATTGTCTGATTGTCTACTAGATATTATTGTTTGGAAAACAAAGCTGTTTTTCTTTTAATTGACACCTTACTCTTGCGAAATCTATTAGCTTGATTTGATGTCTGGTCATCTAATTTCACCTGCTGCAAATCAAGTAGATTAGAGATTCTGCGTAATAAATATAGTTTTCAATATTCATATACCAAAATATCTTTCCAATATCTTTGTTAAATTTGTTCTAAAAAAGTTTTTTTCTTTTAAAAATATTCCGATTATAAACTTTAATAAACATTTTTTTCCTCAAACAAAAAAGTAGCAGACGACAAAATACCTTGAAATAGTAAGATGCAAACGATTTGAATGAAATAAAACACGTGATTATGTATTTTTAAGTCGCATCTAATGAGACTTTTCCTTCAAATTATTCTTTTTTCTTGAAAACCGGAAGTGATTACATAGATGGGAATGGCACAACTAACAAAGATTCAATTTACTCAAATTATTAGCATAATCATCGTAATAGCTCTTTAAAAACATATCTTTTTGCAGCCTTGGAAGTAAACTATCTAATGTTTTATAATTAAGACTAAAAAAAGTACCCTGTCCGGTTTTAGCTGTTCTATCATTGCTGTTTCTCTTCAGGTACATTACATTTACGATTTGAGTCGCATTGTGAACAATGGAATATTGAGCGAACTGTTCTAAAAAAAAGTAGGAAAGATAAAGGACAACTGTATGGATACATCTTAATGCCAATTTCGCTAATCAAAGTAAGTTAAAAATTCTTTTACTTAATTCTTTTTTTAGAATAATAATCAACTTCAAGGGATTAAAAAAAAGTTTGGAATATTTATTTAAAAGGCTTTTATCACCGGTAACACATGGGAATAAATGTTTTGTTGCATTTCTACAAATAATTGAATACCTAATTCGTTTGTTTTGCGCCTAATGCTACAGACTTTTTCAAATGATATTTTTATTCTATTTTCTGTCCAAAAGATCGAGATAAAAATTATACACAACAGAGGGTAGCATAAATGGTGTGGCAAACTTTTAGGAGAGTTAAAGGGCATCATCGTGCATGGATTCCTAGGCAATTTTAATCCGGATAATGTGTCCTCTTGAAATTTGTTGTAACATTTAAGAGAAAATCGCGCTAATTAATCGAATATATTTATATATAACGTTTTTGAATTTGTAAAATTTGACAAAAATATACTAAAAACGTCATATAATTGAAAAGAAAACTGTTGCCGAGAGAATTGCCGATTTCTGATTTAAAAACAGCGATTTGAATATATCCGAGATCCTTTAAAAAATTGCCGACTTGTGATTTAAAAACAGCGATTTGAACATATCCGATACCCTTTAAAAAATGGCCAATTTCTGATTTAAAAACAGCGATTTGGATATATCCGAGATCCTTTAAAAAAATTGTATTCCATAAAAAAAAAATACTTGTTCCAGAGTGTAATTAATTGAACAATTAACCATGAACAATATCAATTTTTCACCCAATATAAATTAATAGCTAATGTATTACCAATTCTCGATAATGTTCAATTACAAATAAAAGATAAAGTGTTTATAATTGACGAATTATATATTGACGTTCTTTTATTGACAAGAACACTTAAGGATAATAAAATAAACATGTCTTAATCTTTGCATCAACTCTACAAGTTGATGAAAGATAAAATAAATATTTTTTTCATATTTTTTGCAATTGATATAAACTTTAAGAGTGAAAAAGTATAGAATGCTTATGTTTACATCTATTAATGATTTTAATCAATTTATTAATTCTACACTCATATATTAATAATTTAATTTAACATTTTCTAATATATATATTATAAACTCTAGGTTTTTGTTAATCATAATTTTTTTATCTTAAAAATATATCACTTAAATAGAGTGTAAAGTTCTACAAACAGCGATACTAGGGCAAAAATAAGCATCAATTCCGCAAAGAGGAATAAGACTAAAAACATAATCACATTTATCATTTTAGAATAACTATAAACTTTGTTGAAAAAATCATATCGGAAGTAATACTTAGAATTCTATTAATTATCAATTTATATATAAGCAATTTATATAATCATGATTAATAGCAAATATTGTGAATTGGACACTATTGTGAATTGGATTAATTGAAAATTAAAGTATATGCTTTCCTCCTTTTTTTTCGCTCAATCTTTATGTCTTAAGTATGTTTGTGAAGACATAACTCACAAAATGTTTAGGGGTTTATTCATTTGACTCTAACTACCTTGCTCACATCCATTTTCGGGCTCATCCAAGGTAACTAACAAATTAAACGCGCTTCAGTATTGCAGTAAGAACGTGCCATAAGAGATCACTTTATTTATGAATCTGTTTTCATATTTTTCATTCATCTGGCAATCTTATTGCGAAAATATTTTAAATCATTCTTGAAAGATTGCGGTAAGCGTAAGTTCATTTTAATTCGTTCCTCACTATATAGATTTCCCTTCGTGTTTTGTTCTGTAATTTCTTTATATATTTTTTTTGTTGTTGTTGTGTGGGAAGAGTAACTTTTGACCATGTCAACCTTCATCTATGAAAAGGTACACCGACATAGAGTCGCGTTAACATGTCTTATATACTAGTGAATTGTAGTGGTAGATACGCTACAGTACTCCCCCACCAGAGTTATATCTGTGATTGAATTCGATGAATGGATACCACTAGTTGAATCATTGCTGCTTTTGTGCGAAGTCGGGAGAGCTGTATTAAGATCACCGTACTTTTTGAGTGCTGAATGTGAGAGGTGTATTAACTTCACGGTCATAGTCGCTCATGTGTCGCCTTTATCAGTCGAGTGTATGCGTTGTACGTTGTGTGTGATTGAAACTGAGCAGCAACAGCGCTAAGAGGTGGATGATGTTGCAGTCACAAGTAGCAAGTCAACTGTTCAATGTGGACCATCCAACGAAGTAGGCGTATTCAGATCGAAGTGGGCGTTCCTGCCCAGGTAGGCGTGTTCACACCCCGTCCGGGTCACCAATGCGGAAAGAGTAGTTACAGACCATGTCAACCGTCATCTATGAAAAGGTACCCCGACATAGAGTCGAGTTAACATATCTTATATACTAGTGAATTGTAGTGGTAGATACGCTACAGTTGCTTGTTATGTTTTATTTCGTATATATTTTTTACTTAATGTGTTCTATTTTCGTTTCAATTTTTTGAGTGCTCCTCACACTGTTGTGTCGATATAGGAGCTATTGTGTTGATTGCTTTGACTTTATTGACACAATATTAGAAAGCACTCCTTTTTGCTGATATAATCGGGTGAGCTGATGAAGAGATTATATCTTATTTATATTATATTTTGTTTTTCAGATTTTTATTAATTTTTATTTTTTAATTTCTTTAAGGTAAATAAAAAATATTTTTTTAAATACTTTTAAAAATAATTTTAATAATTTTTCTCCTCTTGTCATTATTTTTTATTATTTTCCATATATTCTCAATATATTTACTAAGTTTCAGTTAAATTAGTTTAGAGTTATAAAATGTTTAAGTATTTCTTGAAAAATATGAAAAAATGTATTAGTAAAGAAGTGTTTCTAACCCCTGCACATGTCCATTATTTAAAAATATAATTTGTGGGCAAAGACAAGTTGTAAAGGTAAGTACAAAATTCAAATGCATAACTAATTATCGTTTATCTATTTGTTTGCAATTAGTAATTAAAATAAAATAAACAATTTTAATAAAATATTCATTACATCAAGAATAAATAAGAATCAATTGATTTTTCATTTAATCTTTTATTGCATTTACGTAAATAAATCTTGCCTGATTCGGGTGTAGTGATTTTAAAGATGAAATTTTTTTTGCTCTTAAAGCTACAGATTTTTTAAAGGTTTTTTTAGTTTATTTTTTGTTGAAACGTGCTATTTTAAAGAACGTTATACATAACAGTGGAAAGCGCATAAATGTTGTGACAAACTTCAAGGGATGCTAGGACATATCTTCAGGATTAAAAATGCAAAAAATCCATATCTGGAGATGTCGTTCTTGGCTAGGCTTCTTCCTTATTATGATCCTCTTCAAAAGCCCACAAAGGTACAGTTCATAATAGAGTAGTGTCCTCAGCAGCGTATGACGACGTTTCCGGGAGTATATTTCATATGTAATTTTAATCCTGATAATGTGAGAATTTCTACCAATCCCAGCAATAGCTGGTCGATACGAATTCCGCATCCGGCTTGCACCGCATACAGTGCTGACGTGAAATATCCTCAGTGGTAGACGGATTATGGATTAAAGTCCCCTTGCCATCAGGCTAACCGTAGGAGGTTTCCATGGTTTTCCTCTCCATATACCGCAAATGAGGGTTAGTTCCATCAAAAAGTTCTCCGTGATGGCAAGTTCCTCCCATTACTTGCTCCAGGAGTTCTCTGGTCTTCTGAGTTGAGCTCAAGATTACAAGGGTACAGAGTTGAACATTAGTAGTCGTAAACCCAAAAAAAGGGTCGACTGTTCAATGACGGTTATAAAATCATGCGTCCCACTGTTATATATAACGCTTTTAAATTTGTACGTTAAAAAAAAGGCTAAAAGTGTCATTACCGAAAACTTAAACATGGTGAGAGAAACCGATGGCAGATTTGAAATCTGCGATAAGAAAATATCTAAGATTTGTATTAAAAAAATCACATGCAACAGAAATAAAAATAAATTGCTTCCCACTGTAATTAACGGATAAATTGTACTACCAACGCAGCAAAATAACTCAGTTATCTGTTATTTTATATGATTTTTTTTTATATGAAGCTCGCTAGAAGATAGAAGATTAATTTTGTTAAGATATTGCTATCCTTAATTTGCTATTAGTTTTCACTTCACTATGTCAGTACTGTTAATAACGTAGGTAAGGCTCTATTTCGAAGGCTCTGTATAGTTGCATGAAATGATGCTTTTTTGAGAATAATGTGTCACTTTCATAACTGATGTGAACTAAGAACTCATGACTGTTAGCGTAAGTTTAGTCTGTCTTTAGCCAGAGCACTCTATGTTTATTCTGAAAATCACGCAAAACGTCGATATTGAGAAATGCCACTATTTTGAAAAATGAAAAGAATCTGTGGTTAAATTTTTAATATTTAAAAACTTACTTCAATGCTGCATTATCTGGACTTATTAAAATTTATGAGCTATTTAATTTCATAATTTTAATCTGTCATGTCACTAAATGTCACCGAATTGGCGGTTTTTAAAAAAGCAAAATTACCTTTAAATTTTTTTAGCTATTTTTCCAATCTAAAGTCAATTCTTTACAGTAAGATGACATAAACAGTTTAAAATTGTAGCTTTGCTTCAAGTGCAAGCCGCTTACACTGTATCTCTTTCATTTTATTTGATGACAGGTTTTCGAAAAAGCATGTTAATTGAATAATCCGGTTGTTTGCAAACAGTCACAATCAGTTTGCAATGTGTCGGGCTAATTAAAAAAAGTTTACAATACTTTCTAACCAGCCAGCCTTCCTGCTCTCAAATTAATAAATATATCAGTCATTGATCGATCAGCTTAATTTATTTTAGCCAATTTGCAATTAGATCATGCAGAGAAGTTAAGGTTTACTATAAATGGCTTTATTAAATTTATAAGGAAATAAAATTGAAAAAAATTCAATCTGATTGAGTTTTACTTCAAATATTTTTTAATTAGCTTTAAGACATATAGATTTTATAAGTCTAAAAATAATCTAGAAAATTGGGGAATACGCTTTTC